CAGTAGTCTTGGTAGCAAAGCCCTAAGTAGGACAAGGGCTCCCCTGAAGGCCTGCACAGGCTGTTTCCATGCCGTTCATCACTTCTCCAAAGAGGCTTCCCCAAGGAACCTTGCCTCTAGGGGATGCTCTGCCCCAAAAAAGTGCCAGGAGCAAATGAATCTGGCAAGAACTATTTTTTTTTTTTTTTTGAGACAGAGTCTCACTCTGTTGCCCAGGCTAGAGTGAGTGCCCTGGAGTCAGCCTTGCTCACAGCAACCTCAAACTCCTGGGCTCAAGCGATTCTCCTGCCTCAGCCTCCCGAGTAGCTGGGACTACAGGCATGCGCCACCATGCCTGGCTAATTTTTTTGTATATATATTAGTTGGCCAATTAATTTCTTTCTATTTATAGTAGAGACGGGGTCTCGCTCTTGCTCAGGTTGGTTTTGAACTCCCGAACTCAAACGATCCGCCTGCCTCGGCCTCCCAGAGAGCTAGGATTACAGGCGTGAGCCACCGCGCCCGGCCTGAATCTGGAAAGAACTATTGATACCAGTGTATTAAAAGCTCCTCAAAGTCCTACAATTAAGAATCAGCCCAGCATTTCCCAAACTGATATAATCGCAAGACCTTTTTAAGAAATTAAAACACTTATTTGGCACATTAAGAAACATTGATCTACTAGCACTCTGGGAGGCTGAGGTAGGAGGATTGCTTGAGTTCAGGAGTTCGAGACCAGCCTGAGCAAGAGCAAGACCCCGTCTCTACTATAAATAGAAAGAAATTAGCCAAACAACTAAAAATAGAAAAAAATCAGCTGGGTATGGTGGCTCGTGCCTCTAGTCCCAGCTACCCAGGAGGCTGAAGCAGGAGGATTGCTTGAGCCCAGGAGTTTGAGGTTGCTGTGAGCTAGGATGATGCTCAGGCATGAGACTCTGTCTCAAAAAATAAAAAAAAAGAAACATTGATCTAAAATAGGGGTTAGTACCTTTCTATTAAGGGCCACATAGTATAAGTATTTTGGCACAACTAAAATAAACCACTGTCTCTGTCACAGCTAGTCAACTCTGCCATTGTATCAAAAAAGCATGGCTTTGTCTGATAAAGCTTTATTTGTAGATATTGAAATTTGAATTTTATATAATTTTTATTTGTCACCAAATAGTATTCTCCTTTTGATTAAAAAAAAAAATTTAAAAATGCAAAAATCATTCTTAGGCCAGGCGTGGTGGCTCACGCCTGTAATCCTAGCACTCTGGGAGGCTGAACCGGGCAGATTGCTTGAGATCAGGAGTTCGAAACCAGCCTGAGTGAGACCCCGTCTCTATTAAAAATAGAAAGAAATTAATTGACCAACTAACAATATATATACAAAAAATTAGCTGGGCATGGTGGCGCATGCCTGTAGTCCCAGCTACTCGGGAGGCTGAGCCAGCAGGATCGCTTGAGCCCAGGAGTTTGAGGTTGCTGTGAGCTAGGCTGACGCCACGGCACTCACTCTAGCCTGGGCAACAAAGTGAGACTCTGTCTCAAAAAAAAACAAAACAAAAATCATTCTTAGCTCACATGCCATTCAAAGACAGGTAGCAGGCCAGATTTGATCTGTGAACCATACTTTGTCAACCCCTGATCAAGAATGATGTTTGGGTGGCGTATCTTTCCAGCAGGCCTTTCGGAGTACTGTTCCTCAGGGTTCAGTTTTAATTTGAACTTTTATGTTTTTGGTTTAAGACCAGATTTAAAGAAAAGCAAACAGGTAGAGAATTGGTCTGAGTGCTTACAGGCTGGTCTAGGATTTTCCTCAGAAAACAATTGTGGGTCCTCTCAAAGAACATATTTACAAACTAACAATAGAGGTATTACTCCATCACATACAGCTGGATCAACTTTAGGCTGGAAGTGTCTTACTGGGCATTATCATTCATTCCGTGTACATAGAAATGAAAGTCTTAAAGCACCCAGAAACATTTAATTTTAAGAAAATATAACTTCCTTGTCAACTCTCCAAGTAAACTAGTAAGCTGTGTCTTCCCCCACCCCCAAGCTAACAGAGTTCTTTTTAATTTTGACTAGGGAGACATTCTTTCAGCTTCTTCTGATGCCACTGTGATGAAAGAAGAATCAAAACATTCCTGCTACCATATATGACACTTCAGTTTCAGTTATACAAGTATTTTTTATTGAGCACTCAGTGTGTATAAAACATCTGGGTAGGTTTTACGGGGGATACAGAAGGAGCAAGGAGCAGACAGTTCCTTCTTTTCCTTGGGAGCCAAGTTCAAGATCCTCACCAGTTATTGCTCCTTGCTATAGTGTCAGGATTAATTTCACCTCCCCGGCTCTTCCTGTCACCATTCATCTGTTCATTCAGAAAACACCTGTGGGTCGCAGCCTGTGTTCAAGGCACTGGGAACACAGCCCTCAGAGCGAGCTTTCCAGGGGACGCTGGCGTTTCTCTTTTCCTCTGGCATTCTTGCTTGCAATCTCTTTTATATGGTGGAGCATTTTATTACTGCATTTCTTAAGACTTCAACCTTTGTGTTCCGCACACTGTGTGTGACTCTCCTCAAAATATTTAGCGAGAGAGCGTGTCTCCTGATTAACCACCCTTTCTGGGACTGGATGCTCTTGTTCCTTCCACCTGAGTGGCACCCACGTTTCCCTGCCCTCTTTTCTCAGTGTACCAGTAGGAACATAGTTTTACCAGATCCATAATTTTAAAGCCATTGACTATATTAAGCAAGAGGAGTGTAAACAATGTTACAAGGTAGCTAAACATACACATATTATCTGTTGGATAATTGTTTTTGATTGAGGAAGACTCTATAGTGTTAATTTTTCCATTTATAAAAGGAATACTTAATTGCAGTGAAAATTTTTAAAACTATGTAAAAGTATACAGCAAAGAGAAAAAATTAATCTGTAATTCAGGCACCCATTGATCAATTCTATGACCATTTAACATGCATTTTTTTACTTTCCTTGATTCACACAGTAAAATTGACCTTTATTTGGTATATACTTCCATGAATTTTAAGATGCTGTACATTTGTGTAACCACCACCACAATCAAGATCAGAAAAGTTCCATACCCCCTGTATAAGCACCCCTTTGTCAGCCCCAGGCAGCCACTGATCTGCTGTCATTGTAGTTTTGTCTTTTTGAGACTGTCATATAAATGGAATCCTGTAGCATATAAGCTTTTGAAAATGACTTTTTTTCACTTAGATTCATTCAAGCTGTTGGTGTGTATGAATAATCGTTTACTTTTTGTTGCTAAGTACTGTTTCGTTGTGGGGTTGTCCCACAGTTTAGTTATCCATTTGCCATTTAAGATTACTTTTAAAAAGTAAAGTTACATTTCAGGAGTCCTGAAGTGCTTTAAAATCAAGATGTATATTTAATGTGGTGGGGGTTTTTATTAACATTTCTGCAGAAAGTTATCGTTGACTTGATGGTGCATCTTATAACTAATACTGTCTTAGAATCAAGGTTTGTAGTGGTGAGATGATCAGTGTGGGGGATAAGGAGGGGCTGTTGAGGGCTATTAAGAATAAAGGAAGTGGCCGAGCACAGTGGCTCACGCCTGTAATCCTAGCACTCTGGGAGGCCGAGGCGGGCGGATTGCTCGAGGTCAGGAGTTCGAAACCAACCTGAGCAAGAGCGAGACCCCGTCTCTACTATAAATAGAAAGAAATTAATTGGCCAACTAATATATATAGAAAAAATTAGCCGGGCATGGTGGCACATGCCTGTAGTCCCAGCTACTCGGGAGGCTGAGGCAGGAGGATCGCTTGAGCCCAGGAGTTTGAGGTTGCTGTGAGCTAGGCTGATGCCATGGCACTCACTCTAGCCAGGGCAACAAAGTGAGACTCTGTCTCAAAAAAAATAAATAAATAAAGGAAGTGAGTAGTCAAGAGTCAAATAAAGAAAGGCCCGGAAAGCATGGCAAGTCCATGCTAGAGCAGGGCTTCGGGAAGTTTTGATCAGAGGAGCAACACCAGGAAAGAAATCTTTAAGAACAAAGCCTGTCTGATTGTGGTCAGTACCAAGCTGGCCACCATCATCAGTGCTGATGAGTCAGGAGAAGACAGGGTGCACTGCTAGTGCCGGATGAAGTGGAAGAAGAACTTGGAAAGAGTTTGGTGGAGGTAGCAAGCATTGACTAGAGAGCATGGTTCAAGGGCAGAAGGGTAGTTGCGGAACACCCCAATCTCCAGGCCGGTACCTGGGCAGGAAAGGTAAGAGGTACGAAGAACCAAGGACAGCTGCTCCCTAAATCTTCAGGTGTTTATGTGGTAGGAATGGGTGGGTTGAGTGGGGCATGCTACATGCAAAAACGTACAACAGGAGAGAATGTCCTAGAGCTTCACAGATTAAGAAGGATATGTACACAGGGATACTGTGCTAAGATAAATGAGCACAGGCTGTACTTGATGATGGGAACTTGGGTAAAGTATATGATGATTCTATGGAAACAAACTGATTTGTATTTCCAAACAGAATTGTATTATAGCTAACTATACGGCCCAAAGTTTTTGGCAAAACTTATTCTTGGGTTCCTTCCCTCTGTGTCACAAGTCAGGTGACTTATTCTTTGACATATTCCATTTTCAAGTTGAGGAAGGATCCTTAAGGACAGGTTCCCATCAGCCACTGGAGAAGGCAGAGGCAAAAGTAAGAACTGACCATTGGAGAGTAATTTACCAAAGGGACTTGCCCCTCTTACCAGATCTTCTTGGGAAGCCTCATTCCCGGAAGCAGCCTCACTTCTACTTACTCAAACCTGTTCTTGCTTGGGGTCAAGGAGAAGTAGGTGCCAGTTCACAGGGAAGAAGAGAAAGACACCCATTTGTCTCTCCCCAGTCTCACATTTTACTAAAGATCCTGTTCTCAGGGAGCGATTTATGTAAGTTACTCTTTACTTTCCCCAACAGAGAAAAATAACTGTTCTTTAAACAGTACTACCATGGAGTGGAGTTATTTGCGGCATTGCTAATTATATCTTAAATCTTTCCTAGAAAAGACTGTGTCTTCACCATTGACCCATCAACCGCCCGAGACCTCGATGATGCCCTCTCCTGCAAGCCACTTGCTGATGGTAGGATGGAAATTTCTATTCCTTTCTGGGTTGCAGGCAGTCTGCATACCTGTTGGTCTGCCTGGCTGCCTTGTGCTCCCTAGGGAGCATCACGTTCGAGGTTCCATTTGCTTTGCGCCAGAACTGGCCATAGGCCTCTGAGCCAACATGGTTGTATGGTCTTAAGGTTATGTTCCTGTGGTGACTTTGGTGAGGCTGAGAATGAGAAATGTCCTCTCACCTGGACTCTTCTTGGACCTCAGAAAAGGCAGCAGTGAGGGCAGAGGAACCATTAGGTTATTAAGTATGAAATGTCCGATTTCCTTACATACTAAGTTTGACAGTCAATATCTCTGACATTTCACTTTGACACATCTTGTTCTATATTTATTGTAAAGGTACATCATCGGCTGGGCGTGGTGGCTCACGCCTGTAATCCTAGCACTCTGGGAGGCTGAGGCGGGAGGATCGGTCTAGGTCAGGAGTTCAAGACCAGCTTGAGCAAGAGTGAGACCCCATCTCTACTAAAAATAGAAAGAAATTAGCCAGACAACTAAAAACATATACAAAAAATTAGCCGGGCATGGTGGCGCATGCCTGTAGTCCCAGCTACTCAGGAGGCTGAGGCAGGAGGATTGCTTGAGCCCAGGAGTTTGAGGTTGCTGTGAGCTAGGCTGACGCCATGGCACTCTAGCCCGGGCAACAGAGTGAGAGTCTGTCTCAAAAAAAAGGTACATCATCAGTCTTGCAAGCCCACATTTTGGCTTGTGATTATCTTTCAAATCGTTTTTTAGAGCAATTTTTGTGAAAGCAAATGGATGTGTAAAAAATGCATGTTATTTTTGAATATTAGTTTCGTCAAGGAATCAGTGCAGCACAAACAGCTTGAAATATCAACGAAGTGTTTGAGAAGGATGTGGCTAATGAGCGCACAGTATGTGGAAGGTTTGAAAAGTTCTGTTCTGGTGATTGTAATCTTGAGAAAATGGGGACCTGAGACCAAGGTGGATAATGATGAGCTGAAAGCTATAGTATTAATATAAGGAAATCCATCTCAGCCTACACATGAATTGGCAGCAAGGTTTGACATTACTATTCCAACAATATTTGATCATTTGAAGCAAATCAGCAAGGTAAAGAAGCTGGATAGATGGGTTCTACGTGAATTAAATGAGCATCAGCAGAGAAATTGTCTCAAAGCTTGCCTTTCTTTGCTGTCACAACATACAGGCAAACCATTTCTACACCATAATGTTACCTGTGATGAAAAATGGATTCTCTAAGAGAATCGCAAGCATTCAGCACAATGGTTGGATGACGATGAAGTGCTGAAACACAGTCTAAAACCAAATACTCATCAAAAAAAGCTAGTGGTGTCTGTTTGGTGGTCCGGCGTTGGTATTATCCACTACAGCTTCATGAAACCTGGTCATTCAATTACAGTGGATGTCTGCTGCAGCCAGATGGATGAAATGATGAGGATGCTTGTGATTAAGCAGCCAAAATTGGTCGATAGAGACAGGCCAATCTTCTTGCAAGACAGTGTTGGACCACATGTCCCACAAACAACGCTGCTCAAACTATGGAAGCTGGATTTGGAAATTCTGTGTCTTCCATGGTATTCACCAGACCTTGTACCAACTGACTACCACTTCTTCCAGGCTTTGGACCACTTCTTGCAAGGAAAAATATTCAATTCTCACCAAGCTGTGGAAAATACCGTTCACAGTTTCATCGCCACTCACTCTCCAGGCTTCTTCGCTGCTGGCATAAACAAGCTACCGTTAAGATGATAAAACCATGTCTATAGCTTATGTGCATACTTTGATTAATTGTACTGATCCTTGCTTGAGATATAATAAACTACACTTTTGATTTGAAATTGGACATTTCGTATTTAATGACTTACAATTCCAGGCCTTCACCCTTTAGTTAGTTCTAGTTTGGGTATAAGGTATTATAGAAAGAAAATCCCTAAGGGCTCTGCTTAGAGGAGACATAGGATTCTTTATCTGAATTTGACACCAGATCAGGTAATTGAAGGGGTACTCATCAAAGGCATGCCCCGCAGTGGATAGCAGGAACACCTTACCTGAGAAACACCTCTACAGGCCTGAGCTAAAGAAGCCTGGGCTACTCCCAGTGGATATCTTTATCTGTCTAGCAAATTGCAATAGGCAGATGGATGGGGGCTCTTTAAACATCCTTTTGTGGGATGTTGCTAAGCATGAAAAAGTGGCATAGAGGCCAGTGGTCTTTGGAAATTATAGTAGGAAGAAGGGAAAGTAGCAGTTGACACTCTAAGGAAAAGTGTTAGGATGTGGGAAGAGTAAGCCCTGCCAACCTCCTTCCTGAGGCCCCTAGACATGCTGCTTATGGTATTCAGCCACTTCTCGCCCCTCTCTAGGGTGGTATCTGGGGAACTGCTTTGGCTTTGGTCATTCTCAAAGATGGCCTAGGTACTTACATGGCCTTTGATGGTGTACCCATCATAGGTATCCACCCTTGCAGTTTCAGTCTGACACCTGGTCTTTTAAAACAATGCAAAGATGTTCACATGTCCCACTGACATAAAACTCCATTGGTTCAGTGGGTAATCTCTTCTCTACTATAGTAGGCAGTGAAGCTTAGTAGATAGAAGGCTGAGCGACAGAAGACATTGCCTAAAAGTATTTTTATTTTCTTTTATTGGGAGCCTTCCTTGAAACTATGGGCAAGATTGTTCATTATTTTCAACTAAAGAAAATTGAAAGGAAGATAAAGCATAAAGAGAGAAAAGGTCTCATGAAAATTTTAGAGAAATTCCATATTTTTTAAATACAAAATTGAAGCAGCCTATTTAAAAAAATAGGTTGGTTTCGTTTCTGGCTTGGTTTCTGACTTTCTGAGCAATCTCTGCTGAGGCTCGGGCTTACCTGTTCTCTGTATAGACTCCACTTCCCTGAGCCCTTGTGTAAAAAGTACCCCCAGGCTGAAAGGCAGGTGACTGTGGGCCTCACTTCTCATATTTCCCTTCCCTCCAGGTTCACAGCTCTGCCGTTAGGCATCTAATACTTTGAAACAGTTGCTTCATTTATTTTGCTCAGTTTTATAGTTGTTAATGGCAGAAGGATAAGTCTAGTACTTGTTCCTCTGCCTCAGCTAGCCTGTCACCCTTCAGGGACGCTAGGGAGAAGACACAAGTGCACTCACTCACTCTGAACACTGGGGTTCAGGGTACAAGTGTGCCAGCAGAGGTTTCATAAAGGAAATGGTTAAAGATATGACAGGAAAGATAGACTGGGGACAAATTTTTCAACCGAGTATTATTCTTTATTTGTTAGACAATGGAAAGCCAAGTAGATATTGTTCAGCAGGAGAATATTCAAAATGAGGAAAATAATGTAGCAGTGCAAGGTGAAGGAAAAGGAGAGTAAGGAGAGGCAGGGAAACGAGTCAGAGAAACATTGCAATAGTTTCGGGATAAGGACCTGGACTGGAGGTGGTGGCTTATCAGTGGGGGTCGGGTGGGAAGGACAATATGAGAAAGGGCTAGTGACAAAAGAATCTATGGAAATGGATGTTAGGGTTGAGGGAGAGGAGTCCAAGATGGTGTCAGGGTTTCAACTTGGATGGCAGGAGATGGAACCCACAAGTTAGAAATGGGGAAGTCAGGATGCTAAGCTGGCTTAGGAGAAAGTATCCCCACATGCTGTTGTCTGTCTAATGATATGTATTTATGTAAGTTGCTGTACGTCCTTTTTAGAAGAACGTAAGTTAAATAGATGCAGTTAAATATATAAGTTAAACAGATGCAGTTCATATAACTATATGCAAAGACATCCCTGAAGAAGAATAAGCAGTGCACTAAAATGCAAACAGTGATTTTATTAGGTTGATGGGATCATAAGTGATTTTTCTCTTTTCTCTAGTTTCCACATTTTTATAATGTAATAATAGTTTTAAAATGAAAACAACTTTGTAATAAAGGAAAGTTATGGGGTGCCAGAAATCGCAGGCTGCCTAGTAGCCCGCTGCAGCAGGTGATCAGACACCTTCCCTCTGCTTGATTTTTCTTGCATTCCAGAGGAGCAGCTTGGCAGAACAGCAGAAAAAGGACATGGAAAAGGACTCAGGGAAGACTCTGAAAAGGCCTGAGTTGGTCAGTCAAGCGTTTTTATGGTGGCACTTCTACAGTTGGCCTTTGTGACGGCAGTTTCTGCCAGGGCCATTTATCCACGGAGATGAAAAGGGAAAGTCAATTCCAGTTTGGGTTGGGGTGAGGTTGGCTAAGTTCAGGTTCAGTTAGTTACCAATTCATGTCAACTCTAGCTTAGAAGAAAAATGTTTAATGTTTCAAAAAGCAAATAATGTTTTGGGGGCAGATATATATCATCTATAGCCGTTTCTATTTAAAGAAAATATTAATATAAAACTTAAACTTCCCTTTGGTCCTATTGAAATCATCTGAGTGACTATTCTATGACAATTAAAATATACAAACAGATATAACATATCTAGTCCTCACTTTCCCTTTTTGTAGCGTTCAGATGCACTCCCAGGACTTGTTACCAGTATCTCCTATCAGGTGAGAGGCTCAGATGATCATACAAAACACAGTGAACATTCATTCACCGGTAGATCATAATTGAGTTGAAGGCTGAGGTCGGGGGGGGGGGGTTTGCCACTTATCCTTGTGGAATCTCAGCTTTGGAAGGGATTCTACCAGTCTTCTAACCTGGTAATTCTCCACCTTTTAAAGCCTACTAACACTCTTAAGGAGAACATTCCCATGATCATTACCCAGCAACGTGGAGTTTTCTACCTTTGCTCCAGAGAGTATTTAATTATGCAACTGAGTAAGAGCAGCATTATAATGATAACCCAGAATCTAAAGACAGTAAATCACACACTTCGGTGTTTTATTATTGTAACAGATCACTTGCAGCACACCTCACAGTTGACCTCACCACTCAAGTGTGGGAATGCCACAGTTGTCAGATCACCCTCTGTTTTTTGAATTACCTCTACAACATCCACTT